TATATATATATATATATATATATATATGTTTTCTAACCAGTTTGAGGCACTTTGCCATCATATGGGATTTACTATGTGTAATTTTAACTGAAGATGTGGAAATCCATAATGATGACATGATTTCAATCCCCTTACAACCAAAAGCAAAATTAGGAAAAAAATAAATGACTTTTTCAAAGCTTAAGGTTTAGGATCTACCATTTATTAATGTCATTCAATGCCCTAGGACAAGGGTTAGCAAACGTTTTCTGTAAAGACACAGATAGTTACTATTTCAGGCTTTATAGGCCATACGTTGTCTGCTGCAACTCTTCAATTCTGTAAAAACAGACATAGAAAAAAGATATGAATGATTAAGGATGGCTGGATTTCAATAAAACTTTATGGACATTGAAATAGGAATTTTACACAATTCATAAAACAATAATCTTCTGATTTTTTTCCCTAATCATTGGAAACTGTAGGCTTGTTTTTTTCCCTCTGTCCTAGGAAACTAAATGTATCTTTCAAAGCTCTTGGGACCCATTGAAAATTAAACACTATTTGTGCTAAACCACAAAAACCAAATTCACTACAGTCAATTTGTGTTAGTTTGACTTAAATCATTTTCCTTTAATGCCTTTTGTGAAGTTTAATTTTATGAATGCCCTAAATTATTATGTCAGTTGATATGTTTTAAGTTAATCAACTATATATAATGGTAGCTAAGTTCTATTGTTATATCTTATAGTATTCTATAATGATTCTATTAATACTGCTATTAGTGTAACTTTGTATTTTTTCCAGGTTATTTGAGACACTGCAGTCCTTGTTTTGGTCAATATTTGGGCTCATCAATTTATATGTGACCAATGTCAAAGCACAGCATGAATTCACTGAGTTTGTTGGTGCCACCATGTTCGGGACATATAATGTCATCTCTCTGGTTGTCCTACTCAACATGTTAATAGCTATGATGAATAACTCTTACCAACTTATTGCTGTAAGTTGACCAAGTTTTTATTGTATTTCCATATTCCCCCTATAATGTGCTTTTCGTAGCTATTCTCTTAATATCATAAGAAACACATAATCCATAATTGACTAGATTGAAGAAAGAGAATGGAATTGTAATATAAATGGTTTATTTTAGGCTTCTAAGTAGTATATGATATTTGACTATATATTTGTTATATTACCTATGATTATAAAATAGACTGACTCTTGCTTGTCAGGTAGTCACTGGCTCTAGAAAGCAGTAGGCGAGGTATGACTTATAAACAGGCAGCTCAGCTCTATGTTGTACTTTTTAGGCTTTACACTGTGTCTGTCCATCTTCCTTAAAATCTTTATATATGCAAACTCCTGCCACCCTGGCAGGATACAAAAGAGAACCCAGAAAGAACCAGGGAAGCCAAAAAGCCACTTACTTTTAAAGTTTACGTAACATAATGTAAAAGTACTACTGGTTATTTTAATAACCCTGAATATGTGTGTTTATTTGAAACTCTGGAACCCAAACAATATCTTAATTTATTTATTCACTTATACAACAAATATTTATTGAGTTCAAACTCTATTGCCAGCCACTGATCTAGGAATGAAGACTACAGCAATGAACAAGACAGCTGTTCATTCCTGTGCCCTTATACTGCTGTTACAGCCACTAGTGGTCAATAGGAACAAAACACATGGTGGAATGAAATATATTTCTTAAGTATTTCATAGCTGTACCTTAGACAAGTAGCATTTTATAAGCCTAATTATAAGTTGTCTGTTTTCTCTATAAATAACTACAATTATATAGCATCCTTGAACCTTTTGTTAAACCTCTGGAGTGTTGTTATCATTATTTTGAGAAGTAGCACTCTGAGTTTTCTTTAAACACTCTTTATGGAGGCAAATATTTCTTATAAGTTACCTGTCATAGATATGAAACATGAAAATAGATTATTTTTTATTTACTGCTTCACAGACTAAAGTATTTCCAATGGGTAATGAAGCCTCTGGATATACCTAGGCCTAAGGATTTGTTGGGAATATCTGAACTTGTGCATGAGCAGAACTTCATTTAAACATCTTACACATCTGAGAAATTTTTGCAGATAATCTCTCTATATACTTCAGAAGTTCTGTTTTCTTCTAGTCAACACATTTCCAAAATGTAGATTCTCTTTTACAGATCAATAATAATAATAATAGTAAATAAATATATATATATATATATATATATAATGTTGTTGTTATGTGCTCTCAAGTCTGACCCGACTCATAGTGACTTCTCCTTGGGTTTCTGAGGCAGTAACACTGCTGAAGTAGATTGCACAACCTTCCTTCCGAGGAGTGGTTGGTGAGTTTGAACCTCCAATTTTCTGGTTATTAATCAAGTGCCTTAGGCACTATGCTACCAGATCTCCCTATATTTAGAAAGCTTATAATTATCAAGCTATAGATAGAGAAGCTGCCTGCAATTTGGATCCTCTAAAACTTTAAATGTCCCAATTTCATCAAGAAGAGAACATTATATGAGAATACTATGGCATTTCCTTTTCACTCCTTTTGCGGTATGTTTTTCTAGGTTATTTCATTATGGAGATGAGCATCATCTCAAATCTTTGTATTTCAACCAAACTCTAAAACTACTTGAGAGGAAAGCAGGCCCTGAGAACCTGAAGCAAGAGTATCTCCCAGAGCCCTGAATCTGATGCTCCTTGAGCATGAGCATACTAGGAATTTTCATTTTCATCTGTTCCAGAATAGTGGACTTTACCCTGAGAGTATTCTCTTTTTGTCCTGCATTTTGTTCTTTTTTAAGTCCTCAACTGAAAGAGTCTCTGGGTGGTACAGTTAAATGCTCGAATATTAACCAAAAGGCACCTCAGAAGACAGCTGTGGCTAACTGCTTCCAAAAGATTAGAACCTTGAAAACCCTATGGAATGTAGTTCTACTCTGTACACATGAGGTTGCCATGAGTTGGAATCAATTTGATAGCACCTGATTGGTTAGTTACCCTTAACTCAAAAATGTAGGGGGAAAAAAAAAATGGGAAAAGAACATTTAACCATTGAAAGAAAGATCAACCAATGCAAGCCATATTGATTGCTTGCTGCCCACTCTTTCATTTGTTCATCAAATATTTATTGTGCTCCTTGGGGCTCTGGTAATGTAGTGCTTAAGGCATTTATTTGACTGCTAAGCAGAAGGCTGGCACTTCAAACCCACCAGCCACTCCTCGGAAGGAATGTTGAGCAATCTACTTCCATACACATACCACCTCGGAAACCTATAAAGGGGTCACTATGAGTCTAATTGACTCGAAGGCAGTGAATTTGGTGTTTTGGTACTATGATTATTTGAATATTTCCACTCTATTTTTAAAAGTGATCATGTTTATAATGATGATAAAAGGGCAGTGTCTGTTACATTTTTTCTAGCCTGATGCCTGAAGGGTGACAAGAATTGTCCACCTGGAAACATATCCAATAAGATTTTTCCTGATGACTCAGGAAGGCTAAGCCATGAGCATCTGTGAAAGTGGCATTCAGCTAGGCAGGGCTTGAAGGGATTAGTAAGATGCAAAGCCTTTTTTCTGGCTAGAAACAAATGAAATAGAGTAACACAAGCCTACACTGCAGGAGATACAGATTCATTTACAGTCATAACTCATCCCTGCAGTCTCTTTAACATGGAATTACTTTAGAAATCTCTTCCATTGAAGAGGGAAGGACAGGAAATGACATGAGAGCTGTACCTACTTACTTGGGTAAGCCATTTTGTGAAATGTTTAGATAACTATCTCTGGGAGTTAGGAGTGTTTTTAGAAGCAATTTAATTAATGTTCCAAGAACTACTCAAAACCAGGGTACAAACTCTCTGTGAGGTATATCTCACCTTATTAATTAAGAACCCAGTCAGCTCTTTTCATTCTATTCAGGACCATGCAGATATAGAATGGAAATTTGCTCGAACAAAGCTTTGGATGAGTTATTTTGAAGAAGGAGGTACTCTGCCTACTCCCTTCAATGTCATCCCAAGCCCCAAGTCTCTCTGGTACCTGATCAAATGGATATGGACACATCTGTGCAAGAAAAAGATGAGACGAAAGCCAGAAAGCTTTGGAACAATAGGGGTAAGAACACACCATGTTAGTATTATGCTTTTTATTTTTTTAATATGGATTTAACACACTCATTCCTCATTTATTGACCTGATTAGGTTCCAAAGACCAGGTCATTGTGAAAAAATTGGCATTGTATGAAAATGGAGAATAATCACATCAGATCACAAAATGGAGGATGATTACATCATTACATAGCTACCAAATTACATCATTACATAAATGTCAAACCATTCAGAATCAATTCCCAGAAATGATTGAAACATAACTTTAAGCATCACAGCCTGCATTACTCTTGCCTAGTACCTAGGCATTCCTTGCCATCGGGCATATAACATTTATGCACAAAATAGTTGGATAGTAGGTTTTTTACTGTTGTCATAAATGTGAAATATCGGGTAATAAGATAGTCAATAAGTGAGGAATAGGTGTATTTATATTCTTTATTAAATATTTTCAAATCTATAGCCTTTTTGTTCTTATTGATTGCATTTTGTGAAAATTTATTGCACATCTACAATGTCTAAGACACTGTCTAAGTAACTATAACTTTTTTGCCAAACTCATTTCATACACTGGGGGCAACCAAACCAAATCTGTTGCCACAGAGTCAATTTCAACTCATGGTGACCACACACATTACAAAGTAGAACTGCTCCACAGGATTTTCTTGGCTGTAACAGCTGATTGCAAATCACTTGTACCACCTACACCTAGAAACCTTAAATTGAAGGCCACACACACACACACACACACACACACACACACGGCCCTCTGGGGGCATAGTGCATGAGGCATTTGATTGCTAAGCTAACCAGAAGGCTGCCCAAACTTACTGTCATCAAGTCAATTCCTCTTCATAGGAAACTCATCAGTTTTTCAAGGTTGTAAATCTTTACAGAAGCACACTGCCCTATCTCTCTTCCACTGAAGGATGGTGAGTTCAAATCACTGACCATTTGGTTAGCAGCCAAATGCCTTAATCACTATACTACTAGAGTTTCTTACTGTTATTTTAATAGGACCCAGTAAGGCCTCCATTAGTGCTACTGATCAAGGCTTAGGGAACTAGTACTCTCTCTCAGCACCTTGATTTCTAGCATTTTTTCAGTATTTTCACCACAGTTTATTTGTGATATTACTTACTCATTGTGTGTTTCTTCCTCTGGAATGTAAATCCAAGAGGCCTTTGATGTTGTTAATTGTGGTAGAGTATACTTCAACTCATAATGGCCCTAAGTACAACAAAACAAAACATTGCTTGGTCATGGTCTATCTTCAAGGTCATTGGTATGTTCTAGTTTATTGTTACTGCCCTGATATTTTGAGTGCCTTTCAATCTAGGGAGCTGATCCTCCAGCACTATATCTGAAAATATTCTGTTATGATCCACAGGGTTTTTACTGGCTAATTTTCAGGAATAAATCAGAAGACCTTTCTTTCTTAAACTAGTCTTTGTCTGATGAAACTTGTATCCCATGGATGACCCTGCTGGTATCTGAAGTACTAATGACATAGCTTCAAGCATCATAGCAACACAATAGCTACCACAGAATGGCAAACTGACAGATGAGTGGTGGTCCATGAAGGCAGGGGTCTGTTTTAATCACCTCATTTCCCCAGTGCCTATCACAGGTCTCTGCATGAGCATATACACTTGTGATAATTTCTCAATTAAATAATTGACTGACTATCATAGCTTGAATATTCTATACCAACTGTAGGCAGTGATTTCAAGATATGTTTAATTGTTCAACATTTTGCTTTTACTCTCAAATATATTCTATTCTAAGAAGTTGAGTTAAAATAATAATAATAATTAGAACCATTCAGAGCCATGCTCCTGATATATTGCAAGGTTTTCTTTTGGAAATGTTTTTCATGTTGGAAAACAAAAGTTCTAGCAATTAGAACAAACTACATGGACTTAACCAAAACCAAACCAAACTCATTGTTGTCAAGTCAGATCCGACTCATAGTGACTGCTCCTTGGCTATCCGAGGCAGTATCACTACAGAAGTAGAATGCCCTAACCTTCTTCCAAGGAGTGGCTGGTGGGTTTAGGCCTAAAAAAAAAAAAAAAAAAAAAATCACTGACAAGAGACTAGTCATTTCCCATTTCTTTCTTACTCTGTTTCTTAATTTTTAAGGTTCTCATAGTGATATGTTGAGAGTTAATAAGCATTTGACCTCAGAGAAAATGGTTTGGAAGTATTATAACATGATTTTAGATTAGAATTACCTAGTAATAATAGATATTTAATCAGAAATTATTTTTTTTAAGTTTACTTAATATAGTTATGACTATAATTGAACTAAATAATCCTTTTCATTTGTTAACATTACAACACATCAGAAATTGTTATCAGCATAGCATGGCACTTTCTCAAACTGAAAGTGGAGTTGATTTTTCTGTCAAATCAATAATAATTCTAACAATAAAGAGAAATTGTTTAAAGGACCAAAACCCATTAAATGGGGAAGAGAATGTTTGTTTAAGAAATGGTGCTGGCAAAACTGGATATCCATTTGCAGAAAAATGAAACAACATCTGTACCTCACACCATATACAAAAACTAACTCCAGATGGATTAAAGACATAAATGTGAAGCCTCAAACTATAAAGTTCCTCAAGGAAAAACTAGGGGCAAATTTAGGGGCCCTAATATATGAGCTCTGGTAGTGTAGTGCCTAAGGCACTTGACTGCTAAGCAGAAGTCTGGCAGTTCACACCCACCAGCCACTCCTCAGAAGGAAGATGGGGCAATCTGCTTCCATAGTGATACTGCCTCAGAAACCCAAGGAGGGGTTGCTATGAGTTGGGTTCGACTCAATAGCACATAACAACAACAACAATATATGGCATAAATAGCCTATTAAGCATAACCCAAAATGCACAAACAGCAGAAGAGAAACTAGATGAATGAGACCTTCTATAAATTAAATAGTTATGTGCTTCCAAAGACTTCTTCAAAAGAGTCAAAAAAGAACCTACAGATTGGAAAAAAATATTTGGTAATGACATATCTGACAAAGAATTTATCTCTAGAATTTATAGAAAATTCCAACACCTCAATAACAAAAAGACAAATAATCCAATTAAAAATGTGCAGAAGACATGAATAGACACTTCTCCAAAGAGGATATTCATGTGGCCAATAAACATATGAAGAAATGCTCACAATCGTTAGCCATTAGAGAGATACAAATCAAAACAACAATGAGATACCATCTTGCCCCAGCACTAGTAACAAAGTTCAACAAGACAGAAAATAACAAATGCTGTTGAGGATGCAGAAAGATTGGGACTTTCATACATCTGCTGATGGGATTGTCAAATGATACAACCACTGTGGAAAGTAGTATGGTGATTCCTTAAAAACTTGGAGTTAGAAATACCACTTGACCCGGCAATTCCATTACTAGGTATATATCTTAAAGAAGTGAGAGCCATGACAAGAACAGACATATGCACACCCATGTTCATCACAGCACTATTTACAATAGCCAAAAGATGGAAACAACCTAGGTGTCCATCATCTGAGGAATGGATAGCCAAACTATGGTACAATGTAATACTATGCAACCCTAAAGAATAACATAGCCTCTGAAAAACACTGCATAACATAGATGAACTTGTAGGACATTATGCTGAGTGAAATAGGTCAATCACAGCAGGACAAATATTGTATTAGTCTGCTATTGTAAAAATTCAAGGAAAAGTTTATATAGAGAAGGAAATTGTCTTTGTTGGTTACCAGGAGTAGGAGGGGAGGGAAGGGAACTCTGTTAGATAGGTAGAGATAAGTATTAACTTGGGTGAAGAGAAGGGCAATATACCACATGTGAGTGATCAACGTGGTGGCATTGAGGAAGAAGAAGTCATAGAGAGGTGCATGGGAAGTACAGACAATAAAGATGAACCCTTTTGTACATACAGTACTGCATTGTCAGTGAAGGCAAAGATGGATATACAGTAGATAGATGGGTGGACAGGCTGAACTATTAGATATGCCTATGCAGGGGGAAATGTACCCAAGATCATGTAAGGTTGGCAGACAATGTTTCTACAAATGTACTTGTATGTTCTGTAAGAAGTCCCAGGTGTATAGTAGGACAGTAAGGCACGAGGTTGTAGTCACTTCTTGGCCACAGCCAGCTACCCAGAGGGACCGAGTAGTTGAACCTGTGGGCTTGGGACCATAGTCTCAGAGGACGTCAAGCTCAATTGGCATAGAATACTACAAAAAGCGTTGTTCCACCTCCTACTTTGGTGTGTAGTGACTGGGATCTTAAAAGCCTGCAAGCAGCTGTCTAGATGCAATGATGGGTCTCCCTCATCCAGTGCAAAGAAGAATGAAGAAAACCAAAGATTCATGTAAACAGTTAGTCCAAGTGACTGGTACCCCCTGCGATCCTCAGCCTATATGACTAGGAGACCAGAAGAAGTAGATGGTGCCTGGCTACCACTGTCAACCACTTACAGGGAGATCTATGTAGGAGATCCTGGATAAAGAGGGAGAACAATGTGGAACAAAACTCAAAATCATTTGGAAAAAAAAGGGGGCAGGGGAAAACCAGGTTTTTTGGTCTGATAGAGCCTGGTGAAAGCACTGAGACTATGGCCTCTAGCTGCCCTTCAGGTCTGGAATTGAACCCACTCCTGTGGCTTCCAGCCAAACAAAAGACAGGCGTATGAGTTGAACATTTGCCTGAGGTAGATACACTCCTTTACCTTGGAGAGAACAATCACGGGAGAAAAAAGGGCTGTCTGTTCACAGGGAGACAGCTCAGTGGGCAGGAGTGCATGGAGGGATGGACACAGGGAAGAGGTAACTATCAAGAGGAAGTGGGAGGGGAGCTGTTGCTTTGGGGTAAATTGTAGTCACGTCATGAGACAAAATGTATGTGAACTTCTGTATGGAAAGTGAATTTGCTCTGTAAACTTTCACCAAAATCACAATTAAAACAAAAAAGAAAAGAAAAGAAATTGGCAAGTAGGTATTGCAGGCAGAGAAGTAGCTAAG